CTCTCTTTACCTTTCTCTTTCTCCGATCAATAAAATAGCCCATCTCCCGCGAAAGCTTATCGTTCGTTTGAATTTTAGCGACTATTACCTTTTTTATATACCACCAAGTTTTCATATTCACAATTTCACTCTACATCTAAGCTTACAAATGTAATTAAGAGTATAATACTATTGTCGTGTACAAATAGTTTTTTTAATCAGAGCAATTCATCACTTATTATTGAAAACTGTTATTCAAATTATTAAATTTTAAATCATTAAATGCAAAAATAATATAGAAAGGAATTAATATTTTTAAGTAAGAGATCTTGATTTTAGTTTTTAGCTTTTATCATTTGTATATAAAATTATATTTATTCTAAAACATACATTTCTTTCCTATAAATAAAGCTATAGTGTTACCAATGTCATATTTGTTATATACTTGTGAATAGAATGAGACGTATTATTTTTGTAATATTTTGCAATATTATTTTTGTTGTATTTCATGTGTTTTTATAAAAATATTGTGGTTTCAGATTACGGACCTTGTTCTTGATAATTGTCGGAGTACGTATATAGTGGGCCTGACAGATGAATTTGTTGCATTAGAATCACTAAGTCTTATCAATGTGGGTCTTACCAGTCTAAAAGGCTTTCCAAAACTATCAAATCTTAAAAAGGTAAGGAAATATATAAATACAATTTTACAGTCAAAATAAAATACAATAGAATATATTTTAAGTAACCATCCTTTGCAGTACTTTAATTAGAGTACAGTATTGAAGTATTATAAAAGATTAATTAAAACAAATTATTTTTATAGTTGGAACTTAGTGACAACAGAATTTCTGGAGGTTTAAATCTTCTTCAGTCAAGTCCCAAATTAACTCATCTTAATCTTAGTGGAAACAAGATCAAAGATCTTGATACACTTCAACCTTTAGTAAGTTCATTGATATTATATATACACTATTTGCGAATATTAGATGTATTAAACATTATTTTGTTTTACAGAAGGAGTTTAAGAATTTGAAAAGTCTGGATCTCTTTAATAATGAAGTAACAAACTTGGATAATTATAGAGAGAAAGTTTTTAGTCTTATTTCCAGTCTTCGATGCCTTGATGGGTATGTAATTTAAAAGAAATCAAATATTTTACTTAATAACTTTGTTCATCCTTTTTCAATACATTAAAACATAAACTGCTTTTATATGATAGATTCGACACAGATGATTGTGAGGTAGAGGACAGCGAAGGGGATGATGATGAAGTAAATGGAAATGAAGATGGAGATGGAGATGCTAATGAAGAAGATAGCGAGGAAGGTTGGTTAAAAGTTGAAAATAAAGTTAAAAAATTTATTGAAATAACAAATTAATATAAAATGACGAAAGATTCATACCTTAATAATAAAAATAAAATTTTAGTCTCAGATGAAGAAGATGATGAAGATTTTGATGATGGTGGTGTAGGATTAGCAGCAGTGTACAAGGAGGGTCTTGAGGTAAATCATCCATGCTTCAAGTTTTTAAGTTTCAAATTATTTTAAGTTTTATTTTTAGATCTTGGTGCAAAGTATAGCACTTGCATTATAATTATGTTTTGATTTAAAAATATTCACGATAAATTACTAATATTCCGACTTTTCTTAACTTTGATTAATATAATGTAGGATGAAAGTGATGAAGATGATTTCCTCTGTGAAGAGGAAGAAGAAGAAGATGACGATGAAAATGAAGATGATGAACAGGATGAAGAAGAAGGTAAATAAATTTGTGTATATTTTTTAATGGAAATAAATTCATTTATTTTACTATCGATACTAAAAGTTAGCCCCTTCGCCTATAATATTGTGCGAGACTCTTGGTAAGGTAATCGGGCAAACCATAAATATCGCGGGCGAGAGACGTGGTTTGTAGATAGAGCTCAACGTAAACATCACGGGTTAGACTCGTAGTTTTCGCCGATTCTTCACCGCGTTCGGACGAAATGGCGCGATGTGTAACCGACGTTTCTGTTAACTATGGTACACACTATCGAAACTTAAATGGCATGGCAAGGGGTTAATAATATAAGAAATATTTTAAAAAATTAGATCTGTTTATTTTAAAGTTGTCTGCTATTATTTAGAAAAGAAACATGATTGCAGTTGAACATTAATGTGGTCAATTTTATTACATTCTTTCATTGCGTTATATAGAATCGTCTCCTGCTCGAGGTAAGAAGAGAAAACATGAAGATGGAGATTCAGGGAACTAGAACCATAGAGAGCAGGCTTCTGATACTGTTAAATGAGTGTAAAATTCATATAAATAATAACAATAATTGAGACGCCGAGTGAACATCTGGGAATCAAACTAATTGACCGACCAATGACAGACTACAGTTAGTGGTGTGAATTTATCAGTAAATCATTGACTGACAAATTGTCTGTGGAACAACAAACGATTACCATTGCGGAGAAGAGGAATGTGAATGAAAATGAAAGAAGATAATGATGGCATAAAATAGGACTGCATTCCAGCTGGGCACAGCGCGTTTTAGTTATACTAACGATATTTTATATAGAGTATATAGTTAGAGTATTAGTGGTGTTGCATAGTGGGTGAAAGATCAGATATTGAAGGTCTCGAAAAAGGCAACAGTGGAGTTTTACACTTGAAGGAGCATATTTGTCTGTTAGCTCCAGTCGGCCAAAGGCTGGTCACGCTGGAATGCAGTCATCGTTAAACAGTACTAAGGTTACATAAGTTACATTTTAAATACATTATTATTGTACCATGAATAAGTATAGAGTAAATGAGGAACAACTTTTGTACAGGTTTACACCATACATTGAGGTGCATTACGCCTCTGTGATTTTTGGGACAGAAAATAAAGAGATAAATATATGTTGCTCATACATTGAGCTTATATCTATGAAAGACGTATTAAGATAGGAATTTGCATCATAAGAATGAAGAAATAAAAAAGAAGTATGTACATTTCGTTTATTAGAGTAATAGTGTTTGAAATGTATAATTGATATAAACAAAAACGAATTGGTTTAGCATGTAAAAGATATTTTAGTATTTTCAGTTTCATTGTTTCGATGTAAGTTAAATAAATAGTTTTGATATTTCAAGGAATCTTGAAAGAAACTGCGAAGTAACATAAGAACACAATTAACATTGTGGTATACTAACTTGTAATTTTTAGTAAATTTTAAGTTCCAAATGTTTATGTACAATGGCAATTTGCCACAGATAACACGGCTGTTAAGATTATTGTTATTTACTTTTGGGCATTCCATGTGCTACGTGTTATGCTCTAATACGGTATAAATTGATTTGATTAGTAAAATTATTGTAATATCTTACAGTTTCAAATTGCAGACATCCAGCTATAACAGTTAAATGTTTTTTATATAACTAAATCGTACAATTTTTTACGGTAACAATAAAATTACTTATTGGATTTGTATCGTTTATACGTAACAAGTCCAAATATTTGGAATATGATATTATTAAACAAAAGAAAAAAGGAAAAAAATCAAAATTGCTGTAAATTCATAATTACCTTTAATTTCTGTCTCTGAAGTTACCATAGCGCTAACACATCTCGTGATGATTAAAGTGCGAAGTTAATGGGTAATGATCATTAATATTATTATTAATATTAAATTACAATTATGATTTTAAACAAAAAAGTGACAAATATTTACACTTGCGCTTTCGCACTTTTGAATTGTATTTAAAAAAAGTCAGAAACGCAAAATTTAGATTAGAGTGGAAAGACAAAAATCTTGAGAAATAGGCGCAAAAATAAAAGATGGATCAGACGATGTAGTTAATGGTGAGACTGTGGCAAGTGGATTACCAGACGGACTACCAATTAACTACGGGATCGTAAGAATGGATGGGAGTGAAATAGCGAGTGAGAATGCAAGAGAAGATCGGTTTTATAAGAAAAAAATTATTGTAGAGTCGAGGATCTGGCGCCTCTTTGTCGCCAGTTTGGTTATGGCCTTATCCAATTTTTCCAAGACTAAAGCAAATTTATATTAGGTACAATGAGTATATGACATGTACAGGTCCAAATCTGTAAATTTCCAATCTGCAATTTGTAATTGCGGCTCGCGCGGATGTCGATTAAAAGTTAAATTATAAATAATTAAAAAATTAAATTATAAATAATTAAACATTTCGCGCGTCCCGCGACACATACACTTTTGTCAATTGCAATTTTGGATAGACCATTTACGTAAGGGAATCTATCACCTATTATCAGATCTTATTACATCTCTGTATTGTCTGTCTGTTCCGTTGTTAAAGTGGATTTTTATCATAACGTTTGTTTATTTCGAGCAATCCTCATCACAAAATAAGAAAAAATAATTTATTAATAAAATCATTTACAAATCAAGGATGATGTGTGATAAAATGTTATTAAACCATCTTTTTCTCCGCAGATAAATATATATATGTCTAAATATTATTTAAGAATAATACTTAAGAATTTAATAATTAGAATTTTTATATTTAAAAGTAAAAGACATTTATTACTTACACGTTTATTTTTTTTGTTTTAAGTCAATTTTATATTTTAACTTTGTCTTTCACTTGGAAGAGTAATTTTATTGTATTCATTTATAGATGTATTTTGTATACATACATGCATTATGTACATTATTACGAGCCAATAATATTTATTTAATATATCAAAATTATCATTTTTGAGATCTCGTTTAAAAGATGGGTTAAGAAATTAATTTTTTCAAAAATTTGTGACAAAGTTTCTTCATTTTTAATCGTATAATAAATTTTTGTTTTATGTAATTATTTTGTTTAATTTTTGAAAATCAGTTCAACCGGATTTTAATGTAATTTATTAGATTCTGTTCATTTATTTCTCGTTATTACTTCTGTACTACTATACCAACAGATAAAATATTTGAGAGCGTGTACGGTGCTGCCAATAGACGCTACCTTGTGAAAGTCTGATAATTCAGCCTCGGCGCGCAGTTTCGTGTCGAGTCTTCAGTGTTTCTCCGCGCTTCCGTTCGTGCGTTTTGGTTGTGGTTCGGTGTGGAAGAGAGTAAAGTCGGTTAGGCTTCGAAGTTGAAATTAGTGTTTTGCGGAGAGAAATTACAAAGTCATCACCTTTCAAGTAACGTGAACAAAATGGCTGAAAGTAAGGGTGCGTTGATCGCAAAGACAGTGCAAAAACACGCAGGCAGAGCAAAGGAGAAGGTAAGTACCACGGAAAGATATATATTTGTACCTTCGTAACAGGTTTCTCCGAAGAGCATGTCAGTCATTCGTACGTTCTAAACGGAATTGTGCTTTTACAAATTGTTTCAACTTTACTCTTCTTGCTACATACTCTATATTTCAATTCATCTGAACGAATATTGTTTAAATACTTCGGCGTGTGGCCCCATAACCCCTTGTACAAGTTGCGGTTAGCAAAATTTGACATTTTACGGCTGACAACTGTTCTAAGAGATCTTTTATTGCATTTCACGACAGTGATATAACTTATATAAGCAGTAAACATGTATCAGTTGTGTAGCAGAGTTTCATTTAAAATGACAATTATGCAACTCTTGGGCTTGGTTCAGCGTAGTAATGCATATACTACAGGTGCATCTTCAACTCTAGTCGCACACTGTCGAAATGTGTAATTGTAAGCCGGGTAGGTTATCACGTGACACCAATATTTTACTTTCGAAGCTGTCGAATATTTATGAATTCTTTAAAATGATCTAAAGGGTAATTCTGTCAGGTGTGTTTGAAATTCAAAAAAAGTTTTTTTTTTTATTTTTGTAAAATTCTTTTAGGTCGTATTATTGCAATGTACAAGTCTGCACATATTCCGATTAACACAGCAGATTGTTCGGATATTAACAGTGAATTACTGTTCAAATTGTAAGGTACAAGAAATAGAATTGATTGACATTTAATTTAATTCGATATGGCTACACACTTTGTTATTAAGTCTTATCGATTTCCTTTCATAATATATCTTAAATCTTTCTGCGTGCATTTATTGGAATTTTATTTAGAGCTTTGGCTCTTTTACCATGTTATATATTATATAATTAACGTCCAACGGGAGCTGTTTCATTCGTATGCTTTATTTTTGAAGAGGAACAAACGACATATCATTAATTTCATTTTGTTTGTCCCTACGCAACGCTTACGGTACTACGTAATATACATGTAGTATGTAATGCTTGTATTAACTGTATCTAATGAACGATACTCGACAAAGTTTTTGATACTTGAGCCATGCTTATTGTACATGTGTGGTGCATCAGTCAAAATCATAAATAAACCTTTCAAATTCGATTTATCTTTGATATATTACTGATTATTTTTAAAAATTTTATTTTACAATTTGGATTTTGAATATATATATCTTTTTTTTACTATATAATATCTAGGTTAAAATATTTAATTAATATATGAAAATTTGGATGTAATGTTTTTCTTCTATTTAAATCTTGAAAAATATTGTTAGTAATTATAATAATTACATATTTCATTAATGAGCTGACTACGATTATTTATTTCGAATATTTTTATTAATACATACGTGTAGATAACGTATTTACGTTATTAATAAATATCATCTACAATAATTTTCAGGGAAAAAGAAATACAAATTTATAATAATTTGATTCCCTTTAATATTTGTTTAGCCTTTTTTTATATTTCCTGGTCAGTTTGTAAAAAGTCATTGATCTGCTGTAACATAACCTACAAATGTTCTTGCAGGTAATTCATTTTTCAACAGCGAAAAGTATTAACAAAATGGCGGCGATAGTTTATTAGCGTACATTTGTCAATTCTTTATATAATATTTACTTTGAAATTTATTTCTAATGATATTTTTGCCAGATTTTTTCGTGTAACTTATGTACATAAGTACAAGCCATAATGCAAATGTATGAATAATAGTAAATGTCAAAATATATATTTCCCATATGTGCAGAGATTTACACGAATATGTATTTAAATCTTCATTTAATAAAATTTTATTTCCAGTGTTACAACGTATAAAATCGTGCAAATTTTATGGAAAAGAATTTCGAGAAAATGAATTTTCTTGCATGATGTATTATACATGATAGAGATCGTGTATGAAGGATTGAAAGGAAGTAGGTCATTCATAAAGTACAGAAGTTATGTAGAGATCATTGATTCTCGTGGAACAGATTTGTCTTGCATTTTGATTTTCAGTAGAGGAAAACATGCTAGTGGCTCGTGCAATATACCGTAAGATAGTATAATTCGTAGGTGTTTTAACTTGCTTTCATGATGGTGGTTATACGGACTTATCTGGTAGAACCGGTCTAACGTATTGCCATGCTAGGGTTACCACTCTCCTCCAAACCAACGAGTAGTGTTAAATTGTGGAAAAGAAAGAAAATCGAGCTTCTAATGGGAAATTTATACTTGGAAATCAGTGTCGGTCGACATGAGTTTTTCAGAATGCGTGCAGACGTGGAATTGAAAGAATAGTATAATTCTTGTGATCCAATTGAAGTGTGGACGATTATTCTTGAGCATATGGGAAGAAATTGCAACGTTATAATTAGTTCAGTGGATTATTATATTGATATAATATTATTACAAATATAATATTAATTAATATTATATAATAATTATGTAACAATTATTTAATATAACGTAACTATTATGTTAATTATGTTATATATAATAGGTATTAATTTATAATAATGTATCTATTATGTTGTTAATATAATTATTATATCATGTTAATATTTTATTTATTATTTTATTAATTTAATGATATTGATGTAATATAATTATTATATTGATCAAGGATTATTCTTAAAATTAGGGAAAATAGAAATTGTGCATTTGAATTCTTTTCTTTTTTATTTGGTTACAAAGGAAGGTCGATGAGTATGTCTGCTAAAAAATATGGTTATCTTCCTCTTTTAGATAACGAGCTGTCAAATGTTCTGAAGTTAAGTAGCAGCTCTTCAAGGTATTCTGCGTGAAACCCTTCTGAGACTTTTGGTATACTTTGAGCAAGCTTCGTGTAAAAATTTCTTCTCGTTGAATTTGCTTTTTTATATAGCAATTTATTAACAATCATATTTGTAATAATGTTAATGTAATATTTATATTAATATTAATATAGAACACAGTATAATCGTTATTAAAATTCTATCAGAATATTGGAACAAAATTACAAAATATTTTTTGAATAAGAAAGATATTTTTAATTAAGAAAAATGTTTTGTCACAGACTGAGTGAAAACAAATTTAATTTTTGTTTAAACTTAATACATAGTAGTGTATTTATTATAAGAATAATATAGCAAAACATCTTTATTCAAAATAGATACTAAATAATAGAATAAAACATTCTTCTTTATTCAGAGCTTTTGCTTTTCTTTTTCATTTAATGCAAATTTCGTAAAATATTAGAAAGTCTTTTCAAATAAATTTGAGATATGCAATTCACAGATATCTTGTAATTTTAGTATATTTTTGATTGTTTGATGAGCATCACTCCATAATTGAACGATTGGTGTAAATTAGTGCAATTTTTATAAGACCAATACATTAATATACAAATCACATTTAAATACTTTTAGTGACTACAATGTCAAATATATCAAAATATATTTATGGTTTTACTGTATTTATAATATACATATTATTTATCTATTATAGTATTGTATATATAAAAAATATGCTACTATAATGTATATTATATAATTATAATTATATACTACATGCTACAGTATAACCATTTAAGCTTAAAACAAATAATCGTGATGACATCATGCTGATCTACAGCCTAATCAACCTGTCTCAGAGAATCTGTTAAACGCCACAATGGAAGCATCAACGACCTCGGGGTATCCTGTACGAGTTGATTGCTTTTTCACACGGCAAAGTTGTACCGATAAGCTAGAATCAATGTTACTCAGAAGGGACGATAGGTTTGATTGCGAGGGCATTGGCAGTCACTCGTAAAAAGTTCAGCAAGTCACTCGAGGCGAGGAAAGCCAGTGTTCGTATGTACTAGAAACGAAAGACCATTAAGACAGCAAAGGATCTCGTGCCTTTTCTCGTGCCGTAGAAGTGCAGCATGTCGAGCTGCGGTATCGTACATTATATCGGAATTTACCTTTGCATTTGCTGAGTGGTGGTGAAACTGAGAGGACGATTCGTCTGTAACGAGAACCTAGAAATGAGCGTTGAATGTGTTCCACGATCATTCCCGAGAACAATAGACGGGGTCACGATAAGTAGCAGAAATTCATAAGGTCGCTTGTCTGATTTTGCAATTTTTTATAAGATTTTTCGATTATGCGATGAAGGAGGCTTTGGCGAGTGCTGAAGGAGGTTACCAAGCTCTTATAGACATAGTCAAGCTTAAGGTCATATTGATCACATTTTTTAATCGTACTCTGTTCTACTTTCTTCTGATTTCAATTTTTTTTTCCATGAGACTCTTTCATTTGAATACTTGTAATTATAGTCCTCTTGATGTATAGTCATAGTAACACTTATAGCCATATTATTAATATTTTTAATTGTGTTGTGTTTTATTTTCTTTTGACTTTATTTGTTTCCTTTTATAGAAGTGTTATCATTTGAATATCTCTTAGAGACTTAGGAATTATATAACATATGTTTTTCTTTTCTTTAACTTTATTTTATTTAGTTACTTTATTTATTAGTTAGATATTCGTTGTATTTAGTTAAAATAAGAAACCTTGATTGTTTATAATCCTTTTCTTCACAGTTTAAAGAATTTCAGTTATAGAGGATTAATTCCATCTTTTACTCAGATCTACATGTCATACAAATATTTTAGACATAATTTTATTCCCTGGAAAATATTAATCTATACAGATATTTTATACTTAAACCATTTACACGATTAAAATTCTCGTTTCTTACGCTTGTAAACAGCTTCTACAAAAAAGAGCAGCTCGTTTATATGCAATAGTAGTAGATAACATCAGAATCCAACTCGTGTACTTTGTCTTCTACTCGTACCTTGAAAACATGAAAATAACGAGCTGTTGAGAGTGTTTGCACAACGTTATACAGATTGCAGATAAACACTCAAAGTGATCCTTACTGAAAGAGAAATCCTAGATAAAAAAAAATGTAGCTTGTCGATAATGATCGTGGACGATGCATATATGTTTATTATATCAAATCAAACACGTTGCCTGTTAAATCTCGAACCT